TGAACCGCTTGTTTAATTCCTCAAGTTAACTGTATCTTGTTATCATAAGTGTGCAAATTGTGTATGCGTTCTTAACATGCAAAAGTAAATTCAGTTTTAAATTATCAAGTTAAGCAAGATTAAATGGATTAAATTATCTAAACTGTTTTCCTCATAATTTCAAATTCTACACAATTCTCATCCGCAGCTTGAAAATTTTCAGATCATTGAATTATATATATTTGATACTCGTATATAATTTTTTGGCCAGCAAGTAGAAACATATTTATGTATGTGATAACGATTAACATCTTTGCGGGCATCATATTCTGTTGCATTGGCACATCCATCCCATTCCATGTTCTTGACAGTATTTGTAACAACCGAGATTTGTCAGATAATCTACAAGTCAGCCATGGCCATGGCTGGGACTGATGTTTCTGACTGTATTGCTGTGGGTGATTCACTCCATCATGATATTAAGGGTGCTAATGCTGCTGGAATCGAATCAGTTTTTATCACTGGTGGAATTCACACTACTGAACTTGGACTACAAGGTATTGGAGAAGTTGCAGATCCATCTTCTGTGCAATCACTTGCAACCAAATATGAAGCTTATCCATCTTATGTGTTGCCCACATTCACATGGTAGGACATCATCTCAAGGAATCTGAACTACCACAGTTATAATTGTAATTCTTTTGCTTTTGTATGATTTATTGGTCATTGGTACGAAGTACAAACTATGTGTTGATAATTTGGAAACTAAAACAGATAAGATGGAAAAGACGAAAATATAGTGCATGCATAGTGAAGTTTTACTTTATTCTTGAAAGGTTTGTTCATTATTATTTGTTTTACAGCTTATTGAATAATTGTTTAATTTAGTAATTAGCACTCTTTCTTGACTATAATTTTTTATGTTTAAGGTTTTTGCATACCTCTCGAGAAATACTTGATACTAGTGTGTTAAGTTTCAAAATATTCTCATTTAATATCTTTAACAAGAGCAATTATGGAGTACGAATTACAAACTATGTGTTGATAATTTGGAAACTAAAACAGGTAATATTGAAAAGACGAAAATATAGTGCATGCATAGTGAAGTTTTATTTTATTCTTGAAAGGTTTATTCTTTATTATTTATTTTGCAGCTTATTGAATAGTTGTTTAATTTAGTACTCTCTTGACCATAATTTTTTATGGTTAAGATTTTTTGCACACCTCTTGAGAAATATTAAATACTAGTGTATTAAGTTCAAAATACTCTCATTTAATATCTTTAACAAGAGCAATTATGGAGTACGAATTACAAACTATGTGTTGATAATTTGGAAACTAAAACAGGTAAGATGGAAAAGACGAAAATATAGTGCATGCATAGTGAAGTTTTACTTTATTCTTGAAAGTTTATTCTTTATTATTTATTATGGATCAGGTGAGTTCTAGTTAAGACTAGTTTGTCTGGCATTTTCATGTGCAGCTGTGCTATTATTAACAAACTGCTTTTAATATAAATGATAAAAATTGAATAATTCCTTGGATTATGGGTATTGAATTTTACTCCTCCAAAGTAAGTAATGATAAAATAAAGCCCCTTAGGAATGTGGATATTGGGTTTAATTTATCCTTACAAAACAGATTTGTAAGGTGAAGTAGACACTGATATTATCTAAAAAAATGTGAGTTTTAAATTTAATTCAATACTATAAAATTGACTTATAGGGTGAATATTGTCCTATTGATATATTATATTATGGTCATATTTAGTTGATATGAAATCTTGTTTTAGTTATTGATGAAAAAATCAATAGTTGATATTTTAATTATTTATAATTTGTTATGTAATATTTACTATTGATTTTTTTATTAATGATTATAATTATTTACTTTACCTTCTAAGTGAATTTGTTCACTGCTGGGCATTCATGGGATATTGCTGAAACCTGAAAGCAACTTTTGAAACAATTGATTTTATTTTTGGTAGGGATTGGAAAGATTATAAATTAGGTGACAATGGAAATTGAATTTAAGTTCTTATACTTTTATATTATTTTAAATTCATTTCTTTTAACTATTAGACTAATCCTTAACCATGAGGCTAATCCAGTGGTCAAAATAGTTGATGTTAAAAAAATTATTTAGAAAGTTTTTTTTTCTACATTAAGAAGTTAATTTATGTTTAAGAATGTTTTTTCAAAAGCACATTTAGAAGGAATATTAATTTATATGATAAAAATAAATATAGTTCTATGATTTGTTTGTATCGGGAGTAAAATAGAGAGAAAATAAATAGGAATGATAGAAATAGAAAACAAATAAAAGAGAAAAAAATGTTATTTGGATAGATAGAAAAAAGTTAATTTATGTTTAAGAATGTTTTTTCAAAAGCACATTTAGAAGGAATGTTAATTTATATGATAAAAATAAATATAGTTCTATGATTTGTTTGTATTGGGAGTAAAATAGAGAGAAAATAAATAGGAATGATAGAAATAGAAAACAAATAAAAGAGAAAAAAATGTTATTTGGATAGATAGAAAAAATATAATTTATGTTTAAGAATGTTTTTTCAAAAGCACATTTAGAAGGAATGTTAATTTATATGATAAAAATAAATATAGTTCTATGATTTGTTTGTATTGGGAGTAAAATAGAGAGAAAATAAATAGGAATGATAGAAATAGAAAACAAATAAAAGAGAAAAAAATGTTATTTGGATAGATAGAAAAAATATAATATTTGGATAGATAGAAACAAGGAACAGAAGACTTTTTATCCACTTATTTTAATGAGAAAATAAGTGATACACCCACAATGTAAAATAATTTTATATTGTGATCTAATTATAAATTATCATTTATAATAAGTTATTGACTTTTAAAGTAAATTAGTTAAATCTTATACCAATAATGAATAGTATAAAATTACTTTTTATTATCGGTATATGACCATTAAATTTAATTTAAATTAGTGGAAAAAGAGTGTAACAAATAAATAAATTATATAAAAATATTTTTATAATTATTTAAAAATGTAATTTTAATATGATATCTTTAATTTATTATAGAATTATATTATAAAAAACTCAAAAGATTCTTCAAGAATTAAATATATTTGAATCTACTTGATATGATTATTTTTCACCCTGGATGATATCATGATGTAGAGTGGGTGGTGATTTTTTCCCACTCCAAGAACATTGGACTTTATGTTTCAGAATTCAGAGACTCCTCCAATTGGCTGTAGTCACCTTATTTGGAAGGACTTTATTGGTGTCTTAGTTTGTGGCGAGGTTCTCCTTTTAGGGGAAAATACGATAAATAATAATTTTATAAATCATCTCTAAATTAGTACTAAGAATCTTTAGAAAGTCATATTTTTGGAGTTTAAAATTGAGATGGTGCATGAAATAAACTATCTATTAATTTATGTGATTTTGTGCGAATAATGTGTATATCTCTGGTATGAGAGACATTTTTTTTTTTGTGAATATTATTTAGCGGAAAAGTTTTTTATTTAAATATTTAATGTAATTGTATATTCTAATTCAAGATTATTAATAAGAATAATCATATATTAACTTATGTATAGACTCAATAAGAATATTTTTTGGAGTTTTTTTTTATTTATTATTTTTTAATGTAAAATCTTATATGTTATTGTCGGAATATGATTCTAGATTTATTTTTATATAATAAATTAAAACAGCAAAAAAAAATTTATTTTTATTTTTTAATATACTTACTTTCAACATTAGTAATATTCTTATGTTTTAAGTCTTTTGGAGTTCGATATTTGAATTCATTCTCTATTTTACTAATTATAAATATTGTCTTCATATTTATTTTGTCTATTGTAGTCTTTGAACAGTGGAGAAGTTCGTTACAACTTTTTGATTATTAGCATTTAATGCTCTTCTTTTCTAGTCAATGTAATAAAAATAAAATTTTAGAGAAAACATATTTTGTAATTATTGTTATTAAATAAATAATAAAATATTTAGATAAATATAGAATTTTCTAACTTTTATCCTTTTTTAAGTTTATTAAATAATAAAACACTATATATTTCTTTTATAGATAAGACTAGAGATCATTTATTTTATTATCGTTGTAATAGTCTTTTTTTTTTTTGTGTTGTGTCGTAATAGTCTTTTATTAGTTCTTTCATTAAAAATTAATAAAATATATTTATTATGAAATGACTCTTCTTATTATTATTCTATAACAACTCATTATTGTCAAATAATTAATTAGATTAATAGAATAATTCAATTAAACATATAAACATAAATTATATGAATCACATAATATTTTTTTTCAATATTCTCCCACTTGACTCATTCTCTTTAGAGATTATCATTATTATTAACAACTAAATATGATCATTTAACTTAAAATTAAATTTTTTTTAAAATTATATAGAAATTATCATATATGTATTATGACGATTTTGTTTCAACATAAACACATTTTTCTATGTATTACAATGCATAATATTTTTTAATAACTAAAATGAAATCATACTATATTAATAAAATATATTTATTAGGATTTATTATTATTCTATAATAAATTTTTATTATCAAATAATTAATTAAATTAAATATAAATCATATGAGTATATCATCGAGACATCTGTGTGCTTAACATGCCTTAATAAGAGGAAGTCAGCTTTACAAGTTGTTGGCTGAGTAAGTTGACTTCTTTTGGCAGAGACACTGTATTTGCAAACAAGTGGCAAGGTTCTCTTGTGGAGGACAAAAACCTTAACTAATTATTTATTCATATTTCAATGTAACTTTCCCTCAAGTGCTTTAAGTCTCCTCCATAAAGACATACTTTCTCTTCAATTGTTGAACCTAGGATCATATTATTTTCGTTATATTACAAGGGAATAATTATTTAGAGCAAGTATCAGTTCATTTTATAATCAATAGTATCATTTAATAAGGTTTGTATAGCTTTGTCTATCACAAACAATACTTATAGACCGAATGTAAATATATTACATTCATCTAAGATAAATATGTCTTTAAAGATTGTGCTTCAAAAACATTGTTTTGTTATAATTAAAACTTAAAATAGTAGAGGTCCTAATTCATTTTTTAACTAACAAAGGTTAGTACATACACATTATGAAATATTTAATACTACTTATAGATAGTATATTTAGTTTATATTTAATAATATAATAATAATAATTTTATTGTTAGATGTGATTATTAAATAAGGGTACATGTGAAAGAAAAAAGACACTAAGACAACTTAAATTTGTAAAGCATCAATAATTTTAAAGAAAGAAAGAAAAGCTAAAACATCTAAAATTTTAGGCCGAAGCCGGTAGTATAAATGAATGTTATGTGTCTTTCACTTATATTTAAAATTTTTATATTACTCTTTTTATTTCATAATAAATGTTATAAGAAAAAAAAATTAATCTCATAGTAAGTGTAATATTTTATAAAAATAGGTTTCAGTAAAAGAATTAAGAATAAGATTAATTTGTAAAATTATTTTTTATCTATTTATTAATTTTTTTAATCCATGTCAATAGTTATTATAAGACAATAATTACATGTTTTCATCGCTCTCTTTTCACTTCTTAGTATATGTATTTCAACATTATCCTCTAACTAGTCAAGAAATATTTGTCTTGATCTTTTCAAACTACAATATTTTTATCATTATTTATATACTTAATTTTCTTAATTATTGATTCATTTGAATTTAAAAATAATTACAACACAATTTAACTTATTTATTACAAAATTTAATAAATAATTTATATATAAATAATTATTGTAAATATTACTTATGATACAATTTATAA